TACTCTGCATGGATATTCAGCTACTGTCTTACACAAGCCTCAAATCTCTTGTATCTTTGTCTCTCCAATGAGAATTTTTAAGTCTGGATCAATCTGATCTGTCAATTTTTGGTATCACATAAGATTTTAGTTACCTGCTTTAGCCAAGTCCCCAGTGCTGCCTGGTGATCTTTTTGGTTCTGAAGAAAGCCCTTTCTCAAACTTCACTATGCTCCACACCCTTTCCAGATACCTCTTCCCCCTTCTTCCATGTAACAAGGTCTAAGCTGATTTTGAGATGGTGGTCCACTTAAGGGGATTTGAAGTCTTAGGTCCGGAGGTTGTAACTGTTTAGGGTACATCCAGAGTTGGGATACAGTAGGGAACAAAATTAGAGAAGAAGACAGGAATGAACAGAAAAATAATAGGAGAAGCAAGAGAAGACTGTTACAAAAAGATAAGGAGAGGATTTCTAGAATAAAAAAAGTGATAACTATATCAAACAAATCTTACAAAGTTTGAGAATGAAAAAGATAACAGAGGATTGGTCAGGAAGTCATTTATAAGAACCATTTCTGTGGTGAGAAACAGAAACAGGGAGGGAAATTACTGTAGACACCAGAGAATAATAAAAATGAAAGGGCAAGGAGTCTAGGCTATACACCCAAAGACACTAGGTAACAACAATATGTACCACAATCAGAATGGAATGCGGGGTCAAGTAAGGACTTACTGGGGGGTTTTCCTGAGATGGAAGATTTGAGGGCATAACTGAGACAGAGCTACTGCACAAGTTTTAGAAGAATGAGAAAAGATCTAACTGATGAAGCTGTCAACCGCATAAAAGAGGAAAATGGTGTAGAAAGTCAGAGCACAATTTTATCCTTCTGTGTCACTTAAATCTTCCCCTCTGGAGGAGACGGTAACTAAATGTGCAACTAAGCCCTGCAGGGGTCTGGCACTGAACTCTCAGCACTGGCATGTAAACTAAGTAAGCCTAGTATGAGGCTGAGGAGTGGGCTTCCCAGAGGCTAGCCTCCACAATGGCAGGTCCATTTTCGCTGTCTTCTAAGTCAGACCTTCCGCAGGAGCCAGCAGGCCTTCTCTGGCCCATCTATATTAGTGTCCCCCACCACATGGTTCCATTACATCTTTAATTCTCCCAACAGTTTTAAGTAAGTTGTTTAACCCCTGCTGGACTATTAACTCTGGGAAGGCAGAGAGTACCTGCCCCAAGCACTAGTTTACCTTCAGTGTCCAACAGAGTGCACTGGTATCTAGAAGGCACTTCATAAATACTGTCTGGATAAATAACATTGATTACATCTAGCCTAGGTTCCATCTGGCCTGGTGCTCATAATGCCTGTCAATTTAGGTAAGTAATAGCTCTTCAAAATACTAACAGGCAGAATGATATTTTCCCAGGAAAATGCTGCATGACTTTGAAACATATGCTGCACAAATGAATTGAGTATGGCAAGTTGCCAAGCTGACACTCAGAGGCAGGCACCTGAAGTAGTTTAATGGTACTTTCAACTTAAATGGTACTTGCATTAAAAAATATACATTTCGGGCCAGGAAGAGCGCTCAGAAAGTTACCTAATCCAATCCCCTCATCATAGAATGCTCAAACATATTCTTCATTAGTCTAACATCAAGTGGCCTTTTAGAATCCACTTGAATACCTCCATTGATAGAAAATACGTCTCTTTGGGGTGCCTGGGTGGCTCAGTCGGTTGAGCCTCCGACTTTTGCTCAGGTCATGATCTCCCGGTTCGTGGGTTCGAGCCCCATGTTGGACTCTGTGCTGACAGCTGGAAGCCTGGAGCCTGCTTTGGATTCTGTGTCTCCCTCTCTGCCCCTCCCCTGCTCATGCTCTGTCTCTGTCCCTCTCTCAAAAATAAATAAACATTAAAAAACAAAAAAGAAAACACATCTCTTTAGGAGAATGCCCTCTCCATGTTTGGATCCTTCCAGTCATTAGAAAATTCTTATGATGCATGCATGGCTTTCACCTAATTCATTGGTCCCATAGTTCAATGTAACTACAGGACAGTCTTTCCAATATCTTAGGAAGGCTGCCACATCCTCTCTTACAGCTTCTCCTCTCCTGCTCCTTTAATCTTCTTCACGTGATCCTCACAGCATTTGAAAGAATATGTCTATATTCATTTTCTTGTCATTCACACTTTCATGAGAAGCAACAGAATGAAAAAAAAATACTAAAGAATATAAAACTAAAGCAACAGGGGTGCCTGGGTGGCTCAGTCAGCTAAGCATCCGACTTTGGCTCAGGTTGTGATCTCACGGCTTGTGAGTTTGGGCCCTACATCAGGCTCTGTGCTGACAGCTTAAAGCCTGGAGCCTGCTTTGAATTCTGTGTCTCCCTCTCTCTCTGCTCCTCCCCCACTCATGCTCTATCTCTCTCTCCTTCAAAAATAAATAAAAACATTAAAAAATTTTTAAAAAAACACAACTAAGGCAACGTAGTTAACATGAGAATAAAAACTGCAAAATGGAGATTAGTATTCCTTTCCATCTGATTATGTCTGACTCTTAACTCTCTTCCTATCTTAACTGTGCAATATCCTTACCTTAATCCAGTGCTCCGCATTGTCAGGGTCAAAGGCAGGCTGTAGATAATATATACAGAATGTTAATACACAGCAATAACTTTATCAACTTTGCCTTTTTAATCTATCCTTCTGACTAAAGCATATGGAAAAGTGTCCTTTTTCTTTCCTCAAGGCATTTCATTAGCAAGTTAAGCAAGAAAAGAACACAGAGATGGTCAGAGGAAAAAACACGGAGCCTTCTCTGGGACATCTTCTGTTTTTGTCTCCTGCCTAGGCCCACCTGGAGATTCTGATTTAATTGGTCTGGAATAGGCCCCAGGTGTCAGTATTTTTTTTTTTTTAAAGGTCTCCAGAACCAAAATAGAGGAATGATAGCTATGATATTCCTTATAAAAACCCAAACAAGCGCCAATTCATAAGCCAAATCATTCAATATCATGGAAGCAAATCTGCTTGGAGAAGCATATGTCCCTTTCCCTGGACCCCTCTTTTCAAGAATGACCTGTAGCCAGGGGCTTTCCTATCTTACCTACAGCAGGAATATTATTTGGTCCAAAAAGAACTAGGGAGGGGAGGCGGTGCATATCATGAGGGATAAGCAATCTTCTACTGTTTTACAAAGCTGAAAATGAAGTAAAGATCACAAATATTTTTACCCATGTCAGTCAGATATCAATATGAAATTAGAAACCAGACCAGTAAGACACTTCCTTTCTTCACTCTCTGTTAACTCTTAGAAGCTTGTAGAATTCCCTCTAATAGTCACTTAACAAATAGAGGTAAGTATTTGCTTTGCTAATAATTCAGGTGGGTCTTTAAATAAAGAAGGGAATATCTCAACTAACATACTGTCACACAGAAGAAGGAAAGGTATAATACTCTCTCACATAATACGTCACCTTCACAGCACCTCAAGATAACTAATCAACGCAGCTGGACAACTGAGTGGCTTTTTCACTGCAACAAAGAGCTGATGCTATTAAAACAACTGAACCTCAAGCTCTCGTGCTTTTACGTTTTTATCCTCCAAGCATTTACAATGAGCACTGGCAGCAAAAATCCTTCCTTTTTGGAGTCTTAAGAAATTGACCCAAATTTTTACCTTTCATCATCAAGTCTATACCAATAACCTATTTGAGATCCAATCTATTGTGAAACTACTACATTACAATATGAGCAGGCTCCGTTTCCAAGTCTAATGCTCCTACCTCCACCCTCCCGTATTCTGGGCAAGATATTCACCATGTGGACTACGTCCGGTGCATTATTTAGCTAGTATATTTAAAATAAACTGCAAGCTCAATTGCCTAGAGCCCTAAGAGAGGTCACGTTGTCTATAGAATATATTTTTTTTAAGAAAGTGTAACTTGAGGATGAAAACAGCTGGTGAAACTGCTCAGGAGCTGAAAGCTGAGAAGCCACTCCATTTTAGTACTCTCACATTTAAAGCATTTATTTTTGTGACTGTTAAAAAGGTAGTCTGTGGACGGCACACACCGTGTGACTGTGACTTTGCACATGGCATTTGCGTATGCTTCAAGTTTAAAATGGGGTTATCAGTTATCCATGTCTTTGGATGCTAATGCATCCAAGGAGGTAACAGATATAAAAAGGAATTATTTTTCTGAATGTTGGTGAATTCAGAAATTTTTAAGTGAATCAAGTATTGGTCTGTCCAATATCCACTTGCATTCCTGAGTTCATATTTGATAATTTATGTAAAATTAGAAGGTGAGGACTCTGAGGCGTAGGACTTAACGTGAAGACTTTCCCCTTCCAATACAGATCTAAAATTGGAACCCCTTTTTTTAAAACAATGAAATGTGTGGGAACTTCCCTAAAATTGTGGGCGTGGGAATGGGAGGCGAGGGAATTGGCGAATTCTCTTCACCCGGATGGGTGCTACCAGACCTCTCCGGTTTGTGAAAAGCATTTGATGGAAACAGTTCTTTCACGGTACTGCCCATCAAAGCCAAAAGGTACCTAGACCCCAAAGTTCATAGGCCCCCTTCCCCAGGGCAATGCTGGCTCCAGGGCAGTCAAGGCAAGGGGGAGCCAAGTAAGGATGCCCCTGGGGGAAGAAGGAGGAAGCGCAGCCCGGCTCGGCTGCCCACGGGGTCGGTCCCCGCACCCCCCAGAGCTCCCGATTGGGATGGATCACCTTGGGACTCGGCTTCCTGGTAAATTGTTTCCAGCGATTCGGCCCCGTCCTCTTCCTTGAAGAGGACATATCCTGGGGCGCCAGCAGCATTTTCCGGGTTCAGGCCCGGACCAAGGCAAAGCTGGAAAGACCGCTTCGTTGCCAAGGCTGCTTCCGGGTCGCCCTGGGAGTTGTAGTTCCTTCGCCCGCAAAGTAGGCAGGCGTGGGGCGCCGTCGAACTACCACTCCCAGGAGGCTGTGCGCAGGCGGAACAAGGTAGGTCGGTAACCCATGGCAACGGCAGCCGTCTCCCGGCCTCACAGTCACCGGAGCTTGCTTTAATATTACCTTTGCCTTTTACTGGCGCCCGGTGATGACGCAGTGCTCCCTGATTGGCTCTACATCGGAGGCGGTGGTTCAGGGGTCCGAGAATCCTGCAAGCCGGACACGTGGTAACGAACTGCGAGGAGTTTGAGGGGTCTCAAGGCCAAAAAAGTTGGGAGTTGTGCACGTAAGTCCCCCCTTTCCCTGAAAGAATAGGGGCTACTGCGGGTGGTTGAGTCGCGTCGCCCCCAGAGGCTCACTGATTGTGTTGCAGTAACTGTAGTTGTACTTCTGTCATGTCTCTCCTTCCCTTTTCTGGCTCTTCTGATGGATCTTGGCTTCTCTAAATCCAGATTCTCCCAAATCCTGTAAGCTTCACTTCATCTCTGAGAGAAAAGGGCCTCCTTTAGACTGCCCTCTGCTCAAGAATGAAGTTCTCAGCCGGAAATGTTTCCTGGACGGCACAGGGTACTTGGGAGGGTTGGGAAGATCTCGAATCCTTGAGCTCAGGGCTTCGCGAGGTCTGAGGCCACTGGAGGCATGGAGTGAAGAAAACTCCATCCTTACTGATTGAACTTAGACGTACCCGGAGACATTGCCCTCTAGGATACGTGGGTTCATACAGGCAGGGTGGTAGGCTTACAATGGGAGCTTTGAACCCTGCTTTGTGGCTGACCTCTGGCAACCTGTTTAAAACAGCGTGGACCCTTCATTAACTGATCGGCAAACTAGGAGTGATAGTACCTAACTCACTGGAGCGTTGTAATGATGAAAAATCAACATAAACATAGCGCTTTGCCAGGAAACATAATGTAAAGTAGATTAGAGATGGTGGAAATGAGATTAGGGGAGCTGTGTCCTCAGACTTGCAGAGATCATAGGGCCTGCTCTGTAACTTGAGTGCCTATCACAAGGGTGATGGTTGAATAAATTGTGTCACATCCAAAATGTAATATCATGAAGTAGTTATTTTAAAAGAGTAAGTTAATTCTGTGTCTCTTTTTCAGGAAAGATACCCATTTTCTCCTGAGAGAAAAGCAAATTGCAGAGAAATGCATACAGTGTAGTGTATTTCCATTTTTTATAAAAAACATCCACACCCATCTATGAGTACGTTTAAATGTTCTTATGAGTATGGAGAAAGGTTGCAGAGGCTGGGAGAATGGATAAAGGAAGAGAAGGGAAAACAAGGACAATAATAAGAACACTATAGCAAAATGGAAAATAGGACTATAAAATTGTATCGTAACATTACAGTTAATGTGTGAACATTGCACAAGAGTATGGACAAGATGGGACTCCTAATAGGCTACCAGCCTGTTAGAGTACAACATCTAAAGCCAGACTTCGGTGATTTAAGTACTGGCTCTGCCACTTTGCAAATGGTGACTCTGTTAGCCTTCAGTTTTCTCCTGTGTAAAATGCATTTAATAATCACATCTGTCTTATGAGGTTGATATGATGGTACATTTTATCAGGGTTAATATGTAAAGGACAGTGTATGCCCAGTAAATGTTATTTACTGAAGTTACTATGTGAAATTGTTAACTTATATTGTGATTCCTGACATATTTCGGTTTACTTCTACCATCTTATTTTGTGTTTTCTATTTTTGATGAGCTTTTTGGTCTCATCTCTTTTTTGCCTTTTATTTATAGTAACCAATTTTTTTCTTTATCATCTCCCGTCCTTCCCCAGTGAGTTCAGAAATTATGCATTCTGTCATTAATCTTTTAATGGTTACTTAAAAAATTTTTAACACACATACTTAACAGTTTTACATTATTCCTTATCTCTCCCCTCCTCCCAAATTGTGTAAGGATTTTAGGATACTTTTCCTCTGAATAGTCTTTGTCTCATCTTCTGTTACTGTTTTCTAGAATTTTAAAGCCTATCATTTCTGTGTGTCTTTCTGAGTCAAGTCAGTGCACCATATTGTTTGGAAGTCCTTCAGAATTTTTTCTAGGCATATACAAACATTTTGGAGTGTATGTGTACACATGTGTTTATAAATATGTATGCAATTTTTCTTTAACAAAAATATGTACTCACCTAAGCTTGTCTAAGCGTATTGCAGTCATCTGTCCATGACAGTCTGTAGAAAATTCATCTAATACACATTTAGAAATCCCTTCTCTCCTGAATGAATGCTAGCGGTGGAGGGTGGCGTGGGGAATGTGTGGCCCTGGAAGCATTAGGACAGGTATAGTACTGCCAGAGGTGTGGGGAATTTTTGTTAGCCCTTGTGAAGGCACAGATCCATTGACAGCTTATCAGTTGTCCTTAAAGCCATAAAGATTTTTCCTTGAATCATTTCCAAATGGTTTTTATAATGTTTTTTCCTTAAGACTTTCCCAGGAACTCTGTAGAAGTGAAGTGTGAATGTATATTTAGAAAAGCATCACACCACAAATCTTAGAAGATTCCTACAGTGAGTGACCCACACGGAAAGGGTGATGAAGGCAAATAAAAAGCAGTTGATATTTTGGAGTCTGTTGGTTTTTTTCTTGAGAAATTTGCTTGGTTTGATGGATTATATCCCTCCCAAAGCATTTTTTAAAAACATATATATGGGCGCACCTGGGTGGCTCAGTCGATTAAGCGTCCGACTTCGGCTCAGGTAATGATCTCATGGTCCGTGAGTTCAAACCCCGCATCCGGCTCTGTGCTGACAGCTCAGAGCCTGGAGCCCATTTCAGATTCTGTGTCTCCCTCTCTCTCTGCCCCTCCCCTGCTCATGCTCTGTCTCTCTCTGTCTCAAAAATAATAAACGTTAAAAAAAAATAAAAACATATATATGAATATGTATATGTGTGTATTTGCATTTACATTACTCCATAATAAAAACTTTTTGTATTTGAGCCCCTAGAAAAAGGATGCACTTATAAAAATTACCATAAACTGAACAGTGAAAAGGAAGGTGTGGTTCTTTTTCTTCTAGCTGTGGACAAAGTTGTGTGTTATTTTTTTAAATGTTGATTTCCAGCTGAAGGTCATTCTCTAATGCTTTCTTTAGAATTCTTAATATTTGTATCCATTCTCACAATACAGAGAATCACTGACAATAGCAGTTTATCTATTACAATACTTTTTCTTAAATGTAGCTGTCTACTTTTCCTTGTTTACTTTTTTCTTTGGTGACATGTCGATTTTTGATCATTAGGATGGGACTCTGAAGAAGCCCCAGATAGCAGAATGTGAGTACATAGCATCAGAGTCCTGCATGGTGGAGAGAACCAAGCAGATATTCCTCTCCAGTTGACCTAGTGTGTTCAGTATAATAAGCTGAGGATTTTGAATTTTACATTCAACAGTATCGGGAATAAACTTTTGTGCATTGTATCACAGGAGAACACATCTCTGCATCTAAGAACATGGTGGCCAATGTCATCTAGAGCTCCCAAGGACCTAATGACAGACTTTGGGCTAAGAATGAAGAAAGCTATTTCTTCAGTTGAGGAGAGAGTGGGAAGGGGAGATGAGAGAAAATGTTTTCAGGATTGAGTGGATGATTAGTCACATTTGAAGCTCTTCTGTTAAAAGATGGGACTCCTAGAACATGTTTATTGTTTCTTTCCACAAGGATAGGACAAGGAGGTCCCTGAGAGAAAGGTAAGTCTGGGAAGCCAGGAGTCTGGGCTTCCAGATGTAGCTGTTTCTTCCCTCTTGGAGAGTCCCTGTGTCTAACCTTGGAGAATCTGAGTTTGGTTATTTTAGAGAATCAGTGGGTTTCCTTTCAGTTATCTTTATATATGTAATCATTACTTGCCCTTCCTATTCTAGATAATATATTCATGTGGCATTTGGCTTTCCATGTGGTACCCTTTAGGTCATGAATGCAGTAACTGGTCCTCTTTCGTTTTTGGTTCTCAGATTAAATTATGTGCATTCTGATTTGGTTTTTCAGTCTTTGAGATTAGTTTGTTTGAGCCTGACCCTGAGGGTGGATCTGTGCTGGGTGTGTGGACAAGATCAGGCTCCAGGGTTTGCCACACAAAAGGACCAGGGACTAGTCCACCAAGATCCCTGATAAAAGTAGTGCTAAATTGCTTATGAATTGCATGTATGCTCCACGTGGTTTCTCACCTCTGTTTGGACACAATATAAGAACAAATTGGGAGATAATCTCACCTCTCAGAGATTATCTCTGTTTATCTTTTGATGTATATTGTTCCATGTAGTTTAATAAACCCCAGGATGCTGATTTGGAATGTGCCTTCTTCATTTTTTTTTTTTTTTTTAGTGTTTGTTTATTTATTTTGAGAGAGAGAGCACGCATGCACAAGTAGAGGAGGATCAGAGAGAGAGGGAGAGAGGAAATCCTGAGCAGACTCTGCCCTGTCAGCCTAGAGCCTAATAACAGAGAGCTTGATCCCATGAACGGTGAGATCATGACCTGAGCCGAAATCAAGAGTCTGACACTTAACTGACTGAGCCACTTCAGTGCCCCTGGAACCTGCTTTCTTTATGTAACAACATGTTACGAAAAATTGCTATGTTGCTTAGCACTCTCTCAAATTAGAAAAAGAAAAAAATGAATCAAATCAGTAATCAGTATGGCTTACATAGTGTGGCCTTCCTCTATATACATTTTAAAGGCTGAAAGTTAGCCTTTGGTGAAAGAGTGCACACTCTTTCCATGATTAGTCTTTACTCCTGTCCTTCTGTTTGTTTGCTTTTCTTCAGCACAGACAAAAATTCCGTGACTGAATTTAAATATGGTTGATGTCATCATTTTGCTTTAAGACTTGGAGAAGGTATCTTATTCTGTCCAGGTCTTTTCCTATTTCTTTCTTCCTGCTATCTAAAACAGTTGTAGGCTGGAAGTAGTAATAAATATGCTGTCATTCATCATCTTGTAGGTTACTTTCTTTGTAAAATGCTTAGCCTTTAGATGTCATGGAACCCCTGAATGTACTGTTCTTTTCTTATCAGGACCTAGAGGAATCCCCCAGAATGAAGCTGAGTCTTACCAAGGTAGTTAATGGCTGTCGCCTAGGAAAAATAAAAAACCTGGGCAAAACAGGAGACCGCACCATGGACATTCCAGCCTGCCTTCTGTACACCAAGACCGGCTCTGCCCCACACCTGACCCATCAGACATTGCATGCTATCCACGGGGTTCCTGCCATGGCTCAGCTTACACTGTCCTCACTGTAAGTGTTAGATCTGATCATTTAAGTATCAACTCTGGCAGCAGCTTAGATACCTTAATAAGGTACAGCAAAGAGAAAAGACTTTTATATAAATATATAATTTATTGTCAAGTTAGCTAATATGCAGTGTATATGGTGTGCTCTTGGCTTTGGGAGTAGATTCCCGTGATTCTTCACTTACATAAAACACCCAGTACTCATCCCAACAAGTACCCTCCTCAATCGCCAGCATCCATTTTCCCCACCCCCTGATGCCTGACCCCCCACTCCCTTCCACCCTCAGTTTGTTCTCCATATTTAAAAGTCTCTTATGGTTTGCCTCCCTCTCTGTTTGTAACTATATATATATATTTTTTTTCCTTCCCTTCCCCCATGGTCTTCTGTTAAGTTTCTCAACTTCCACATATGAGTAAAACATGATATTTGTCTTTCTCTGACTGACTTATTTCACTTAGCATAATACCCTCCAATTCCATCCACGTTGTTACAAATGGTAAGATTTCATTCTTTTTCATTGCCACGTAGTATTCCTGTGTGTGTGTGTGTGTGTGTGTGTGTGTGTGTGTGTGTGTGTGTGTACACGCACCACATTGTCTATATCTGTTCATCAGTTGATGAACATTTGGGATCTTTACATAATTTGGCTATTGTTAAAAATGCTGCTATAAACATTGCGGTACATGTGCCCCTACAGCACTCCTGTATCCTTTGGATAAATTCCTAATAGTGCTTTTGCTGGGTCATAGGGTAATTCAATCTTTAATTTTTTGAGTAATCTTCAAACTGTTTTCCAGAGCAGCTGCACCAGTTTGTATTCCCATCAACAGTGCAAGAGCGTTCCCTTTTCTCCACATCCTCGCCAACATCTGTAGTTTCCTGAGTTGTTAATTTCAGCCACTCTGACTGGTGTGAGGTCGTATCTCAATGTAGTTTTGATTTGTATTTCTTTGATGATGAGCAGTGTTGAGCACCTTTTCATATGTCTGTTAGCCATTTGGATGTCTTCTTTAGAAAAATGTCTATTCATGTTTCTGCCCATTTCTTCCCTGGATTATTTGTTTTTTGGGAGAAAAGACTTTTTTGATTATATGTACAAAAATTTGTAGATTTTTAGAATGAAATCAGAGATACCAAATAGTATACATTATCTGACCCTAATCTGGAAGCCACAGGCCAGACCTACATACCAGAGCTGCTTCACTATTCTTCTGATCCAACCGTGCCAGTATGGTGGCTTTCATTGCCATTACTCCCAGAGGTGACAGGCAGGGAATGCTAGGTAAGAACTAAACAAAGACTCTAGAGTCTGTCTTCATGTACCAGCCTCAAACTTTTCCCTTTATCTGCATATGTACTTGCTAGTACTATTTTATGAAAACAAAACTAATGGAGTTAAATCATTTTATGTAATGTACATACTGACTGTATCCTTCATTGAAGAACATGCTATATAATGAAATAACTCTGCAATATTGTGTTAATAATAGGGGAGGAAGGAAATCTGGGTATTGGAAGCACTTAATCTTTGCCAGTTTCTGTTCCCACAGAAACACTTGTAAAGTGAAGACCTATGCTCTGGCTAATGAACACAACCTAATGAGTTGGGACTCTTGAATAATGGCATGCTTTGTTGTTCAACACTACATTTACTGTCAGCTGTTGCATAGAGTATCTGTAGGACAATTCGTTATGTATTTTTCTGTTTTGCTCATAGGGCAGAACACCATGAGGTCTTGGCAGAATATAAGGAAGGAATTGGAAAGTTTATAGGTAAAAATTGTTATTTGTGTTTGTCTTGTGATGTATTAATTTGAAGTTTGGAAGTGCTGTTGACTGATCTTTCATTCAGACACTTACTTATTCATTAATTTAATGAGCACTTATTGGGCATCTGAGAACCACACATTGGGGATTCAAAGATGAATAGCAACAGTTGCTTCCCCAGTGGAACTCAGAGCCTGTCTGGGATAAAGATTAATAGGTAATTGTAGTAGGATGCAGTGACCGCATTTGCAGGATTAGTAATACGTACATGTACCATGAGAGCCCAGAGAGAGGAGCACATAATTTTCTGTAGGGGGTACGTGTGGAAGGAGGTCGGACTAAAGAAAGGATTCTTGAGAAAGAGGATGAAGGGGTATCTCAGCTGAGTCCAGGAAAAGTAGGAGTTACCCAGGTCAGGAGGTGGGCACAGTGGTGGAAGTACACACGTGTGGGCAGACACACCAGGCACAGAGCAAAGACCCAGAGGTAAAAAGCTGCATGAGACATACCTAAGATTCAAAGCAGTCTAACATGTTTGAGCCTAAAACATAATGCAGAAGACCTAGTGTTTACCTATAGCTATATTTTCATGTTAATATTTATTATCTTTTGTTCCAGAAATAGGATTTTATATGCAAATGTATGTGTCCATTTGTTTGTAGGAAAGCTTAGCAGTGCCAGCTTGAGAATCCATTCTTCTGTAGACAACTTTCTCCTGAAGCTTTCTCCCAATATCTAAGACTCACATAAGTGAATGAAAATTTTGTTTCCATTGGTTATTCAGTCCTCTGCTTCTGAGGGAAACTTCATGATAACTTGGTGGTAGTCACAAGGCCTTGTATTTCAGTAGAGGAATTTATGTAATGTTTCCTTGGACTCAAACCAATTTTAATTTTTCTTTAACGTCTATTAAGAAAATTTCTTTTAGCATTTATTAATTTTTGAGAGTTGGAGGAGACAAAGCATGAGTGGGGGAACGGCAGAGAGGGAGACACAGAATCCAAAGCAGACTCCAGGCTCTGAACTGTCAGCACAGAGCCCAACGTAGGACTCAAACCCATGGACCGTGAGATCATGACCTGAGCTGAAGTCCAAAACTTAACCAACTGAGCCACCTAGGCTCCACTAACGTTTATTTTTGAGAGAGAGAGACAGACAAAGCATGAGCAGGGAGGGGCAGAGAGAGAGGGAGACACAGAATCCGAAGCAGGTTCTAGGCTCTGAGCTGTCAGCACAGAGCCTAACGTGGGCTCAAACTCAAGAACCGTGAGAATCATGATCTGAGTCAAAGTCAGACACTTAACTGACTGAGCCACCCAGGTGCCCCTAGACCGAAACCAATTTTAAAACCAGCTTTAAAGTATACAATTATAAATATATACTATAAATACATACATATATATGTATTATATATGTAATTAAATATATAATTGAGTGAAAATAGCTAAATAAGCTTTCTAGGGATAACCATACTAACTGAAATTATGGAAATAGGTAGAGAGCTGCAGAGTTGTTTTTTGTTTTTGTTTTTATTTTTTAGTTTGCTTTATTTTCTGGGTCTTTTTTCAGTGAAATCCTTTTTTTAGTAAAATGCAGGGTTGCATATGAAATTTAAGCACATATGGTTTAGTAAGCACTTTTTTTGGATTTTTTTTAATGACAATATTTTTGAGTAAACAACCTAAGAAATTGTCATCTTGAGTCAATGAAACTTACCGAGAATTTGATTCATTTTCAATATCCTGTAGCTTACCTATAATTCTGCCTCAAGGTCCCATGTTGTGGGATGGCTTGCTTATTAATGAGATTACCTTTTGACCATATTGTTTTATCTTTCCAGTAGCTAGTTCCTTTGGATGGTACCTAGAATGAACATACTTGATATCAAATTTTTCTTCAAAACAAATCAAGTAGGGTCAATGTGGCCCTAAACACTTATTGTATCTCATACTTCAAGATGTACTTTTTTTTGTAGCAACTCGTTGGTCATTCGACATGAACCTTTAATTCTTTTTTCAGATGAGTAGGTTTTAAAGGTAACTTTTTCATTCATGTTGACAGGCCTCTTATAATTCTAAGATCGGATATGAACAGTTTACTATGTTTAGAGTTGCTTTATCCAGCAGTACACTTATAAAGCTGCACTCTGTTACAACACAGTGTAATTGTTGATGTAAGTGCTTTCAAGAGTTCTTTTCTATGTCTATACAGGCATGCCAGAATCGCTCTTGTACTGTTCCCTGCATGATCCAGTCAGCCCCTGCCCAGCTGGTTATGTAACGAACAAGGTATGTTCTCAGAAGGGCCTCCAAGGCTGCAGCTTTGTCCCAGATAGTCAGCCTATTGTATCCCTCCAATGCTGGATCCCACTGTCTGGGTTCCTAGCCCATTCCTGACCCCTTTATACCTTTTCCTTATGTCTGTGAATATAATGGGAGGTGTGGTTTATAGGAATTAGAGTAGGGCTGCCTGTGGGTGGGGTTAAGGTAAGGAATATATCCTCAGCATTTTCATTGTTGCAAAAAATTGGGAGATGAAGGAAGGTCAAGTACATAGCAAAAAAAAAAAAAAAAAAAAAAAAAAGAAATTGCTATGATGGTAGAAAGCAATAATTTTTTTATGCCATGCTTTATTTACAGTTTTAACAACCTCAGGAAGTGCTAGGGAAGTTGCTGATGAGTGTTATCACATGTATAACTATATATAGTAGAGTCTCCGTGTAATACTGCTTGCTTTTAGAACAGAATTTGAAAAAGCTGGGTGCACAGCCAGAGATTTTAGCTAGTGAAGAACAGTATCAAAAGGACTTCATTACAAGTTTTCACCTGAGACATGGCACATTGGTCTTGTCTCTTGAGGACTACATTCTGGCAAGGCCTCGGTGTATACTGCTTCTTTACAAATGCAATTACTTTTCCTGTACCCACCTTATTGATGTCAAAAATATCTGTTAATCTTGACTAAGTATTTTAAATTATTCTTCTGCTTTTGGGGCGCCTGGGTGGCGCAGTCGGTTAAGCGTCCGACTTCAGCCAGGTCACGATCTCGCAGTCCGGGAGTTCGAGCCCCGCGTCAGGCTCTGGGCTGATGTCCGATTCTGTGTCTCCCTCTCTCTCTGCCCCTCCCCCGTTCATGCTCTGTCTCTCTCTGTCCCAAAAATAAATAAATGTTGAAAACAAAATTTTTTTTAATTATTCTTCTGCTTTAAACTTTATTTTGTAATTTTAATCCAAAAGATGATATTTTTACTTCTGTTATCTACCCCATTTGTAAAGGAAAGAGGATTTATTTAAACAGTGTTTGGTTTTTTAAATGTTTATTTTTGAGAGAGAGGGAGAGACATGGAGTGTGAGCAGGGGAAGGGCAGAGAGAGAGGGAGACACAGATTCTGAAGCAGACTCCAGGTTCTGAGCAAGCTGTCCGTACAGAACCCGATGCGAGGCTTAAACTCACGAAACATGAGATCATGATCTGAGCCGAAGTTGGACGCTCAACCAACTGAGCCACCCAGGTGCCCCTAAATAGTGTTCTTAATTAAGCCTTAGGCCAGAATAAAAAGATGTATGTGGCTTCCCCACTTATGTCCTTGTCAATCTCTTCTAAGAAGAAAGATACTGTAGAGGAAGGAGTAACCAAAAAAAGAACATTATATGGAGATGCTTATGTATTATCTGACTTACTTTTTTTATCTGTATCTAACTCAAGCTAGTAAATACTTACTAACCTTCAATAATATGTAAGGGTCTAGACTAAGCTTTTGGGGTACAAACATGAATTGAGATATTCTAGCCAGAGTACTTATAAGGTACTTATAAAAGTATTTCTTATGAAAGAAATAAGTACAAATTACTGTAAGAGCTTAGAAGAGTGAGTGATGGATTATGCCCAGATAGGTTTGGGAAGCACAATACAGTAGATGATATTTGAATTCTGTCCCGAAGGATGCATAGTATTTTACCAGGCAGAGAGGAAGGGAAGGGCATTTCAGCCAAAAGGAACAATGTGATCAAAGACAGAGAAAGATTGAAGTCTGTGGTGTATTTAGGAACAGCATGCATGGGGTGGGGTCTCAGAGAATAGAAGACTGGACTAGAGAAGTATAACAAAGAATTCTTGGGGCTAGCTCAGAAGCTGGCTGTGTGGCCACCGAAGGGTTCTCTAAGAGCTATAAGGTCCTTGGAGAATTGGAAAATGGTGCAGGAAGCTTCTTCTACTTACCATATCTAGGATATTGAATTGCCACCATATCTCCATTTGTAAAGAGGAATTAAATTCACTATTGCTTTACCATTTTATTATTATTCTTTTTATTTGCATTTTGCTCCTGCTGATTCCTCATTATTTTGTTCCCTGACAGTCTGTGTCGGTGTGGGGTGTTGGGGGACGAGTCGAAATGACTGCTTCCAAGTTCATGGCAATTCAGCAGGCCCTTCAGCCAGACTGGTTCCAGTGCCTCTCAGATGGAGAGGCATCTTGTGAGGAAGCAACTTCCATAAAAAGAGCCAGAAAGTCTGTTGATCGATCACTTCTATTCCTGGATAATTGTCTCCGGCTGCAGGAAGAGTCAGAGGTAAGGCTGTACCACTCACCACTCCTTTCTGTTTGAAACTGTCCCTTACTTAGGTTCCTTTTCTGCTCCTCCTCCCGCTTCTCTGCTTCTCACTTCCTGGTCTCTTTAACTCTCTTGTTTTCTTTTCCTGAACCATAACTACTCTTGCTCTCTAGGATTCTGTCTTAGGCTCCTTTTCACCCCACTCTGGATTTTTTCCCTGGGCAGCTTTCCCTTAGTTTTAATTGCTGAATAATTCTGAAATTGCATGTATAATCAAGATCACTCTGCTTAGCTTCAGAATTGTATAAAGTGGACTTTAGCCGAGTTGTATTAGAATATCCCTCACATGCACCTCAAACTCAAGAGTAACCAAACTCAGTATCTGATCTCCTCAAACCTCTTCTTTTCTTCTGTTTCTCAGTTTATAGCAGCCACCAAGTTCCTCAGCCCAGAAATTTGAGTCTTTCAAGGCTTCGTTTAATACCCAGTTTAATATCCAACTGTCCACTCCTTCTTGATTCCTAGGAATCCTTCTTGATTTCTAGGATCTGCCTCCTCCTCCCCATCCTTCTTATCACCAACTTGAGGCAGAATAACCTCATCATCTCTTATGTGGACAGTTACCTTTTAATTATTCTGTCTCTGGTGTCATTTCCATCCAATCCATCTTCAGCCCTGCTGTCTGAGAAGTCTTCATAAAACACAAATACGAGCCCAAGAACTTCCTGAAAATAATTTAATGACTTTCCATTCAGCGCTTATGTGGCAGGGACAGCCTGCTGTGACCTGGCCTCTGCCCACTTCTCCAGCTCAGGACTGGCTGCAGCTGGGACTCTGGCCCTTCTCAGTCACTTGCAGTTTCCAGCAGTGTTACCCTGTGTCATTCTGCTGACGCTGTACATGGACTTCCTTCTGGGCTGTTTCTTTTTTTCTTATCTCCAGTCGTATTCCTTCTCTTGCTTCCAGATCCAGCTGATTCCATTACATTCATTGTTCTAGGAAGCTGTCCCTGACCCTTCCAGGAAGTTCTGTTCATCCTTTGCCACCCCTTTAATTTGTATGTGGCCATATTATATAGCTTAGGTTATATTGTAGTACAATGATTTCTTCACGTGTTTGCCTTTATTACATTGTGACCTCCTTAAACTCATTTTCTGAGCATCATTTTTGTATCTCCATCATGTAGCAGAATGCCTGACGTAAGGAAGCCCTCAATAAATGCTTGCTGATGGTAGCTGGGTATGACAGGGTAGGGAGGATGTAGCTGTGGCAGGAAATCAGAGATCCTGGGTGCAGAGTGAATTAAGCTCACATGGAGAGAGCAGAGCTAGTGGGAGATGAGAAGGTGTGACCACAGGGGAGAATTCAAGCATTGACACCATTGATGTGGAGGAATCCTGAGCAGTGGTTAGGTCCCACTGTGGCAAAGTGCATTGAGTCTGAAGAACATTGTTATCTTAAGTGTACCAATAAAAAATGTAATTGGCTACCAACGTTAGTGTACATGAAATGATTAGAAGAGACCTTAGTTGTCATTCTGAATAGAACGCTCAGTATCCGCAGTAAGAGTTCAGCATGGGGACATTGCCGTGGGTCCTAATTGTTAGCGTTGCTCACTAGCAATTGTTTTGAGCCGGTAATTATCCTTGTAGGATGAGTAATGTTTCCATGAGTAGAAAGGAGGACAGGGAGTGTGACAGCATGATTATTAGAACAGCTGGATGAGCCTCAAGCCCCTCTTCCATGCTAGTCAGCCTTACCATTTCACATTATTGCTGTGTGTTGGTCCCTCTCTCTATCCCTATAATCATGCTATTGTCTTGACATGATTATTACATGGTTATTACTCTTACATGTGTCCCATTTTTTTCTTGAAAGGGAACTTTTTAGTACTATTATGTACAGGAAAAGCAACAGCACACACTTAGCCCAATTTGGTGACCAGTTCTTTAGCCTTTGCCTTTTCCAACTTGGCAATGCAAACCACTGACTTTGGACCCAGGATGTTGCTTCCCCAGTGATGGCGGACCTCATCATATCTGTCATTGTAATTGGTCCTGATGGCTTCCAGCAGTTTAGCCAGAGCTCCTTTGTCTTCTGAGTTAACCTGTGTGAAGGGACAGTGGTGCAGGTCTTCCTGTGAGCCAGATGCCCCACCTGGCCTTCCCCTTGATGATACAGTATGGAACTCCCATCTTAGGACACATGGCAGGCAGGAAGACAACCAGCTCAATGGGACCCATATCATGTGCAGTCACTACCAGCTGAGCCATTTTGTTTTCCTCCAAGGGGGTAACAGTATTAGCCCCAGCTTGAGGGACGGGCGGCCTCTTAGTGGGGACATCCCCTATGTTGGCAGCTTTCTTAGCCCAGGCCTACAATCTCTTTCTTCTCTTGCTTTGTCTGGTCTGTATTTGTGGGCCAGCTTAGGTATTGAATAGCTGTGTGGCCATCCAAGACCAACGTCCTGGGTGGACTGGTTAATTGTGGGAGGTACTTTTAGACGTTTATAGAGAAGAGCCCTTTGCCGCTGCAACTGGATATAGTTGCAACTGGACAAAGTGGGTGAGGTCCCTTTTGGGCTGGATGTCCTATTTGATGCCAAAGTTCTTGGGCCTTTTCTGATACTGGGAATTGACCACCTTCTTGGCCTCCTGCTTCTTCATGACAGCAGAGGCCAGAGCCACCTTCTTCCCCTTAGGCTTCTCTCCTTCCAGCATCTTGGATGGCTGGAGGAGAGAGCACCTATGTTCCATTTTAGATAGTAAGTTATATGATTATGCTTCTTACATCCATGAAAGGAGGCTTTCCAGATAGGGCTGTGTCAGTCATGGAAAGGGGCAGGCCTGTGTAACTACCTACTTTGTATGTCTGCATACCTCTTTTCCTCACTGGATCCTCTTACTCTTTTTTTTTTTTTTTTTAATGTTTATTTATTTTTGAGAGAGAGAGAGCATGAGCAGGGGAGGGACAGAGAGAGAGGGAGACACAATCCAAAACAGGCTTCAGGCTCTGAGCAGTCGGCACAGAGCCCAATCTGGGGCTCAAACTCACAAACCGTGAGATCATGACCTGAGCTAAAGTGGGATGCTTAACCAACTGAGCCACCCACGCACCCCTGGATCCTGTTATTCTGAATGCCCTTAAATACTTAAATACTGTTGCTGGCACTCTTTTCTTCATATATTTCCTAGGCCAGGGATGGCAAATGGGTTTCATCCCAAGGTGCTTGGAGCTGTGCCTGGGTGCAGCAGGAAGAGAGTTATCTGTCAGCCATGTCTGCCATGGGGAGTGGCAGCAGCATGCCAGGCATCTGTCGTTCTAGCCGGGCAGTCACATTTGTATCACACATGTCTGAAACTTTAGGTCTGTATACTTAGCGGCTGATACCTCAAACTCACAATGCACAAAACAGAATGATCATCTTGCCTCACCCTCCACTGTTTTCCTAGAATTTTCTATCTTTGCTCTTCTCATCCTCTCTCTGGACTTCCAAAACAGGAACTAGGAGTCATCCCAGACTTTTCCCCCTCTCCTTGGGCAATTAATTGGTCAAGTTTGTGGATCGTACCTTCTGATGAGTTTTCAGATCCTGCCCCTCCCCTTCACCCACTGCCACTGCTTTAGTCTGGGTCCTCTTGGTCTTTCATCTGGATTATTAAAGTTGCCTCCTACCCATCCTTTAGCCATATTCACTCTTAATTCATTTCTGTACACAGCAGCCCAAGTGTTCCTTCTGTTTGTGTCCCTCTTGCTTAAACTGAGAAGTGAAATTCCCTTTTCACAGCAATCCAGGCTCCTTCCCCATTCCTCTCTTCTACCAGAGAGCCACTGTCAATTTGCATTTTTCCATGCAAACCTTACTTTTTAGTTGCATATACATAGTATTTACATATATACATGACTATATGGGGTTCTTATTGCACGAATATGATCATATGCTCAGAAGTGTGCTTGTTTTGTTTAGCAGTATCTCAGAATTTCATTTCTTGTCAATGCCTATGTTGCTGTATCCACTGCATTCTTTTTAAAACACCTGAGTAGGAAGACACTATGAATGTATCATAATTTATTTAGGCCTTTACTCTATTAATGTATACTTGTTTCCAGTTTTTCATTATTCTAAACATTTTGTGAATATACCTTGGTGCTTATGAATGAATATACTCGTAGGAGAGATTCTTATAAGTGGAATTTTAGGACATAGGATTAAAGTATCGACATTTTGACAAGTTTTGTTTAGTTGGCCCTCCCAAAAAGCAGAACTAATTTCTACTCTTCTTTAGTTATCAGAGTATGTGTCCCTTCTCTAACACTTTTTCCTCCACTGTGTCACTATCTGTCTTTTAACAATTTTGTCGGTGTGATGGGCAAAAACGGTACCTAATTATTGCCAATTTGTATTTCCCTACTGGTGAGGTTTAGTTAGCTCTCCATATGTGTACAGGGCATTCACATTTATTTTTCAGAAGTTCCTATTCACATTCACATATTTGCCCTGATGTCTGTGGGTTGTCATTTCCTTAGAAGGTTTGTTGGAGGCTTTTCTATGGTATAAGTATAGTATGGTATCTATTCCGACAAGCAGTGAGTTCTCCTTTGCCTCTCAACTCCTTTGTTGAGAGTATGCTTCACTAGAGAAGTTTTGATGATTTTGTACTCAAATATGTTAGCCTTTTTGGGTAAACTTTAGCTTGCTTAGGTAGGCCTTTCTTACCCTAAGATTATAAAAACTTGAATATATCTTTCTGATACTTCTATAACTCTGTTTTTATGTTTAGATTATAGGACCCTGTGGGATTTGTTTTTGAAGATGGTGTGCAAAGTAGTTTTTAGTTTTTCGCAAATGGACAGTTAGTTCCCAACCGTACAGTTCTTTTCTTTTTTTAATGTTTATTTTTTAGAGAGAGAGAGAGACAGACAGAGTGTGAATAGGGGAGGGGCAGAGAGAGAGGGAGACACAGAATCCGAAGCAGGCTCCAGGCTCTGAGCTGTCAGCACAGTCCAACACGGGGTTGAACCCAGGAACTGTGAGATCATGACCTGAGCCGAAGTCGGACGCTTAACCCACTGACTCACCCATGTGCCCCCCAACCATAAAGTTCTTAAAGTCATCTCTAAGAGACTTGGAGGTAACCTAAATTGTACTTGCTCAGTGTTAATTTAATCTAAGCTCAAACATGACTATATGTGCTTATTGCCTCAGTTTCTACTCAGTCTTTTCTTACTTATTTGGGTGCCTTTCAAGTTGTGGTTTTTGGAGCCCTAAAGGTTCTCAGGGAGGAGGGAGTATCATCCTCCTTTCATGCTTCAGCTGTAGCAACTGCACTGAGATCTCTTCTATCTCTTGGTCTTCCATGTATAGTCCATTTAAACGAAGGTTTCCACTACTGGAAACAGTTAAAGCATCCAGTCTTTTCTTCCTGTAGGTCCTTCGGAAAAGTACCATCATTGGTGTGATTGAAGGTGGAGATGTGATGGAGGAGAGACTGAGGTCAGCACGAGAGACAGCCAAGCGGCCCGTAGGTGGCTTCCTTCTGGATGGCTTTCAAGGGAATCCCACAACCCTGGAAACTAGACTGTACTTGCTGTCATCAGTCACTGCAGAGCTGCCGGAGGACAAACCCAGGCTAGTGTTCAGTTAGGACGCAGGCCAAGTTTCGTGGGCTTCAATGCAGGGGTGCTGGTGATTGTGTATTATGCCGCGTCTCTACGTGGGCATGTCTTTTGATGAACTGATTATGCCTTTTCTGGGCTGAATCTGCTCAGGCTGACTGTGGGAAGAGTTTCCATCACAGCTGTCCTGCCTTTGATTTCAGAATATAGACGAGGACAATTGTCATGTGAACTAGTTTATTTGATCCTCATAAGGGAGGGCAGGTGTTATACTATTTCCCTTCATTTTTGTGCCAAGTGCAAATATTCTTCATTATAACATGGCCCCTGGGGACAGGAATAAAGTCGTATAGGACTGTGGCCTTAATCAAGGGAAGTTGAGGACAGATTGGGGGTGCCTAGCAGAACGAAGGTGGGCTGTAGTAATAAGAACCTGGAAGAAGTTCTTAGATTTGAGGCATGTAGTAACTGTCATTTTTTTTGAAATCAAGGGTATTGGCATCATTAATGGGGCTAGTTCTTTCCATAAACAGGATTCAGTATGTACTGGTGTAGAGAGGTGATCTACAAGATTTAAAGCTAAAAATCCTAAGGTTCTGAGTACAGCTGATGTCTTTCTTATTATACTACCGCCATTTTTCTTTTTGTTTTGTTTTGTTTTGCTTTTTAATCTCTAGTTTTTTGTCCAACGTAGTGTGAATATTTATGCTTTTTTCCCTACACATCTGTTTAGAGGTTTGATTATGGGATGCTGCTTTATACCTCTCGGGCTGTTGGATGCTATATAGTATATGTAAATTTTACCACTTTAAAAAAATCCCAGGATAACTTGCAATAAAGTGTATGAATCTTATGGACAGTGTGATGAATTTTTACACATATATACAGCCCTGTAACACAGAGTTGAACAGCCAGAAGCACCAACCCTTTGCCAGTGCAGCCAGAACTTCCCCCATCGTTTTAACCTGGTTCTCTTGTGTTCATCTTGTTCTGGTGCAGATAACAGTCCAGCACTAGTATTTCCAGTCATTTTCTAGACTTCTTTGAGCTAAATGCTCACAGATGTCTGTTACTGGATTTGAGTGCTGGGATTGTTTTTCATCCTATATGTGTGTAGAAATGCCATCTTTAGTTGGAGAGGAGTTCTAAAACATTAGTTGAAGGAAACTGTAGTCATATATATAAATGTTCTGGTTGTTTAATATTACATAAGATTTTTTTGGACTTCTCTTAGAAATCAGGGAGTCTGTTAGCTTTTCTCTGTGAGTTCATAAAAGGGACTGTGGGTAGAAAAACAAACTAAGAAAAGCAGCCAGCCAGCCAACCCTGATCCAGGGTGTCTCCCCTTCTTGTTTTAGTGGCAAAACCTGGTTGAGTATGATTAACCCTCCCAGAATGCCTTACCCATTACCTCTGAAAATACCACCTCATTCCATGTAGACTTTTTATTAATGGAGAAAATACAAAGAAGAATAAAGCCAAATAGAGTTTTAGATCCTGTGGGCAAAGTTCAAATTCTGAGAGCAAGAGTTGCTTTGTAAATGAACCTATGAAGAATACAACAGATAAAAATGTCTTTGTTGAACCAATTATAAAAAAGAAACTATAGGTAAAATACAATTAAGACATGGAAAGTATTTGAGGGGGAAATAAAGCACACAGCTTTGTACTTTTTTTTGTTTTTTAATCTTTTAAAAATTGTGAAGTATAGTTGACCTATAGCTTTGCCCCCTTAAAAAAATCTGTGTAGTGGATAGATAGACTGTAAAGTTCAGTTGAAGACTAGGGAGGCTGTTCAGAAGGAATTGGCGGGGGAAGGAAACTAACTTTTACTGAACTTCTCTTTGGGACTTGAAACTCCTCTGTGTGTTTTTACAGTTAACTCCTTAATCTTCGCAACACATCTGTGAGCTATGTATTATGCTTTTGTTTTTAAAGTTAGAAAACTAAAACCCAGAATGGTTAAGAAACCTCCCTAAAGTCACACAGTAAGTAAATAAAGGGCAGAACTGGGATTTGAGCCCAGGTCCCTCTGCTGCCCAAGTCCTGCATTCTTTCCACCACACCTTATTATCTGTTGCCTGCTACACAGTTTGGCATTGTCCTCACGTCAGTGTTCCTACTGTTGTTTTCACAGGCTCATCTGTGGAGTCAGCCGACCAGATGAGGTGCTCGAGTGTATTGAAAGAGGAGTGGACTTATTTGAGAGTTTCTTCCCTTATCAAGTGACAGAGCGGGGATGTGCCCTGACTTTCAGCTTTGATTACCAGCCGAACCCTGAAGAGACGTGTAGGTTTTCTGAAGTTAGTCTCTGTGATAGCCTCAAGTATCTTCTATTTCCTCTTCATTTTTGGCTTGAGTCACAAGCCAGAGATATGTGCATACTGTAACATCAGCCTTTTATAAAACTACATTTTTGTTTCTTATCTATACGCTCTGGCATGTTGGCACACAAAACCCGGTCGGTTCTTAGTGCTATCCCTGTAGCTCATCAATTATTTGAAAGTGATTTTATAGTGAGCAGAACCAAGAAAAACAAAACACTTTTATTAACAATTTGAAAAAAGAACATTCAGAGTAGATAGTGATGAAAATCTAAGAACAGAAAACCTTTTAACTGCTTACTAAAAGTTAATTCAGTTTTTCACAAAAGAGTTTTTGTCTGCTTTTTGCCAAGGCCATGCTATCAAAATACAGAAGAGTCTTACCCCATCTGATCCTAGTGTCACTTCTGCTTTTTTGGGTTTTTCACAGAGATGTGAAAGCTGTTTTCCTCTGCTAATATTGCTTTGAAGTACCACCATCTTCTTTTATTGTTTAGTTAGAAGTCAAGAAAATCAGTTCCAGAGTCTGACATTTAACTGACAGTAGGAAAAGAACTGGGATATGGGCTATGGGCGTCGGGCTGGGGTCCCAGTTTCTCGGGTAGCTGTTGCATGCCCGGTCTGCCCGCTGGCCTTCGCAAGGGGCTTTCCCTTCCCGCTTCCTGCTGTCCTTTGAGCTCCTCCATCACCACCAGCCTTACATTGAACTCAGGCCAGAGACTTCTTAAAGGTTCACTTTATTCCCCAGAAGTTATTAAAATTTCATCCAGAAGATGTTATAGTTTTATAAAGCAAACTAACCATTAACCGAAATTGGATTATTCTGGAAACAAATTGGTTTGCTCAAATTCTTATATATAGAAGGTCAGTTTTACTGTCCTTTAAACTGACCAGAATATAATGTATGCTGATGAAAAAGCATACCACAAACTCCATAAATGTTCATTTACAAGCTTAATTATTTCCATAGAGACATGGGTAATTGTTATTCTGTACCATGAATATGTAAAACTCTACAAAGAACCCAATACTGAATTCTCAGGAACACACAAGTTCCTTTTTGGCTAGAGAAAGGTGTTTCTTCATGATTAGGAAAACTGAAACAGTTTGAACATTTTCCATTAAAGTATTATTAACAATCATATTTGTGTATGTGTGTGTATAGTAAGTTAAAGTCTTTTGCCAATTACTAAGTGACAATTGCAAAGGAGTAAGTTGCCTGTATAGGAACTAATATAGTTCCCCCTATTGACAAGAATTTTGCAAAAAGCCAGGGTGTTATTGCAGTTTTCCACATCAGCATACAAATTCATGGCAGCAAAATTATAACAGCCTCAATGCTGAGGTCACTTCTTTCTTTCCTTTGATCTGGACAAAATTATCTTCTTAGTGCTATCTGTTTATTCTCCTTGGGCCAACCCTGAACTTGTTACTACTCCTTCCCAGTAATACTTCTCTGCTTGCCCCTGTTCAAGACAGCTGGCTCTTTGCATAGTAACTAGTGTTTCTCTTATAAATCCAGGAACATTCTTTTCTTTTCTTTTTTTTTTTTTTTTTAACATTTATTTATTTTTGAGACAGAGAGAGACAGAGCATGAACAGGGGAGGGGCAGAGAGAGAGGGAGACACAGAATCTGAAACAGGCTCCAGGCTCTGAGCTGTCAGCACAGAGCCCGACGCGGGGCTCAAACCCACAGACCGTGAGATCATGACCTGAGCCGAAGTCGGATGCTTAACCGACCGAGCCACCCAGGCGCCCCAGGAACATTCTTTTCTAAAGAGTTCAGGGGAACAACTCAAGTCCCCATTTAGTTCTGGATAATCTGAGTTCCTTCCAGGGACTCCATACAGAATACATAAATTAAAACTATACTCTACTTTTAATCTATTTGGAACATAGGCAGTTACAAAGCACAATTTGCATGTACATTTTGATGAGACATAACTCCCAACACACACACATAGATTTCTACCCGCTTCCAGGGGCTCCTGGGTGGCTCAGTCGGTTGAGTTTCCGACTTCGGCTCAAGTCATGATCTCACAGCTGGTGAGTTCAAGCCCCGTGTTGGGCTCTGTGCTGATAGCTGGGAGCCTGGAGCCTGCTTCAGATTCTGTGTCTCCCTCTCTCTCTGCCCCTCTCCCACTTGCATTCGGTCTCTGTCTCTCAAAAATAAATAAACATTAAAAAAAAAAAAAAAAGATTTCCACCCCCCTCCAAACACACACACACACACACACACACACACACACACACACACACACTCCCTGTTTTCTTAAAATCATTCCTTGACAGTAAGATTATATATTACATACTTGTAACCATAGTTTGCTTAGACATTGTTGAATCTCCAAGTTTTGATAATCTAGAGAATGTCAGTGATCATCTTGGTCCATATTACTACTTTCCTTGTGTCATTTCCTTAGGATAAATTCTCATGAGTGGAATTACAGAGTCAAAGGGCATAAAATAGTAACTAGAATAAAAATCTCCCAATGGCCACTCTTTATCTGATTTTCATTCAAGACTTTTTGTTGATTTGTCCTTTAGTATCACAACAAAATGGGACACAGGAAAAAATAAAATACACAGATCAAACAAAGAAAATTAAAACAACCAGTTGCAACCAAGAAATTACATCATTTGAAATTAATCTGAAGGAAAAAAAGTAAGGAATTTTTTTAAGTTTGGATTTTGATGTCTGACTTTTTAATTTCAGTCTGTTTTAAAAGTTTATGTAACTGTTCCCTTTTCAGTTTATGACTTCATAAAATATTTATAGTTGGATATTATTTGGGCCTTCTCAAATTCAGTTCCAGAAAAACTCTTTTTTTCTGCAGATGAATTTGTGTTCTTTGTCTTGTCAGAAAACCGAGGCTAGATAACTGTTGTTTTAGAAGAGCTGTCGGAAACATTAGGCCAAATACATTGTCTGGTGTCTTCTACTCTTTCCAATTACTTTAAATAATGACAGAGCAAGATAAAGATTTCAAGATAAAAAACAACAAAGTGTTTAAATTCTAAGGAACTTAGGTCATCTTGGTTATATACAGATTATAAATCTTAATAAAAGATTTCCCTCTATAAAGAATGAACTAAGAGATCTTGTAACTTTGTATTTGGCCTAAAGTGGTAATTATTAGTGAACCAGTGAGGGGGTTTTCTGTGAGTTTGGTACTCTCACTTCTGTGCTGGCATGTTTTTGGTCTTATGTAAAGGAACACTCTAGGGATTCAGACTTACTTATGTCTATCTAGTAATAGTACAGACTTGAAAATTTATGAAAGAATATGAAAATCCTAGGTCTAATCTATATTCTACAGGGGCTTCTTGATTATAGGTCTGAAATGGTGATGTTTACCACATTAACTTCTTGGAAAATGGCCAAGGAGATTCATTGCTGTTTTTAAAACGCTAGGGTAATATAAATGGGTTACTACTAAAATTCCCTTACATTATAGATTTAACTGGAAATTGTAGTTTTCTTATTGCCAGCACTAGACCTAAATAAAGTTCAGATCCTAGCACTGCTCTTGACTCTGTGACCTTGGTCAAGTTGTTTAACTTAAGAGCTGATAAAAAGTGACACGTGTAGTGCTTAGTATGTGTCCAGCAGTGTCCAAATCCTTTGCTATATCAACTCATTTAATTCTTGCAATAAGTCTCTAAGGTAGGTACTGTTATTACACTTATTCCCATCACAGATGAAAAAGTAAAGACACAGAGGGAGGTTAAATGACTTGCCTGAGTGCAAGGCATCAAACCTAGGTGTGGTAGCTCTGAGGCCCTTCCTCTTGACCCCCCCGGCAGAGATTAAGGGAGACAGTCTTTGTCAAAGTGCTTTGTAAACCACAGGAATCTATGCAAGTGAAAGGTCATATTGTGTCTTCGGGTCCTAGTTCTGATGGTGAGTGGGAAAAAAGTGTCATTCATCAGAACAGCGTTTGCTATCATTGTGTGCCTTTGCAGTGTTACCGACAAAGCTCAGCATGAGGGAGTGATCACGTGACTCTCCTGATGCTCCTGTGTAAGCCTCAGTCCAGGAGGTTATATCTGTCAGAAGAAGACTCCCAAGTCTCCTGACTCATGCTCTGTGTTAACTTTTCACTTCGTTGTCATCTTAAGCAGGTGACCGGCACTACATTTGCCAGTGATGTTATTAACTATTGGTTATGTACCAGCAGAATAGATAGCAGATTTCTTATATTCCTCACTTACTGGAATATTGTTGTAACTTCCTTTCTCAGGTACCAGGAGGACTTTGATCCACTTGTGAGAGGGTGTTCCTGTTACTGCTGTAAGAATCATACTCGTGCGTACATCCACCATCTGCTGGTGACCAACGAGCTGTTGGCTGGAGTCCTGCTTATGATGCACAACTTTGAACACTATTTTGGTTTTTTCCACTCCATCCGGGAAGCACTAAGAAGTGACAGACTGGCACAGTTGAAAGAGCTCATCCGCAGGCAAGCGTCTTGAGACCTGGCATACACAAATCAGACTTTTCACACTGAGACTGCCCCACTGTTTTCACACAGGAAGAAGAGAAGGAGAAACAATCTTAGCTTTAATTATTTGTATTTGAGAATAAGGTGTACGCAAATAAGGAATGTTTGTATCAAACTCTGCCTCCATGAGAAAGGAGATTTCATATAAAGACTTAAGTGACCCCCAACTGATCAGAAAGAATTAAACCATGACCTTTAATATTTCAATGCTAACTTTTTTTTTTTTTTTTTTTTTGAGAGAGAGAGAGAGCGAGAGAGCGCATGTTTGCGCGTGTGGGGGCAGGGGCAGAGGGAGAGGGAGAATCTTAAGCAGGCTCCATGCTCAATGCAGAGCCTGATACGGGGCTTGATCTCACAACTATGAGATCATGACCTGAGCCAAAATCAAGAGTCAGACACTTAACTGACTGAGCCATCCAGGTGCCCCTCAGTGCTAACTCTTTTAGTCAATGGAGATTCGTTTAGTCAAAGACGAAAGCTTTAGGTGAGAAGGGACAGCCTTGAAGTGAGGTTGATGAGATTATGTGGGTTCGTTGAATTAGATTAGAGCTAGAAAGGAGATGATTGGTCATGAGCAGCATGACTTCTGTAGACATATGGCTGTTGACTGTAAAAGGCATCTAGCTGATTTAAGAGCTTCCTAGTTTTAATTCTTATATTCTCAGGGCCCTCTTGGACACTTCTGCCTTCCAACCTGCCCCAGTACTGCAGTCAGTCAGAAAAGGTTCTTGGGACTTAACCAGGCTCACATCTTCATGGAATGTGGGGCTCACACATTTCTCCTATGATCAGTTGGCCCAGGATACACTCTTTTATTTGACCACGTTATCCGTACGTGACTTATCTATGTCCATGCAGTGGCTTGTTATGAGCCGAAAAGTTTGCCCAGATGTTTTTGTCTGGTCATACAAATCCACTATGGTCTACCCTGGGCTCATTAATAGTCTAAGCACATAACAAGTGTAGCCCCATCACTGCACATCATTCACTATGTGCCCACTTGGATGGAGCCCTGGCCTGGCAATTACAAGATTGGGTTTCACTTCTACTCAGCTGTGACACCTGAGCAAATCACTTAACCTCCCCTTGCCTATTTCCTCCTGAACAAACAGGGACAGGTATGGTGGACAGCACCACATGACCTTCTAAAATTCCATCCAGCTCTAATGATTGGGGAGCAAAAAGTTTTAGATTGGAGGCAGCCTTCTTGTGTCCTGGTTTATTGATCACTGTTGGCCTGGTGAAAAATGCAGTGGGCAAAATGCTAGAATTGGGCAATAGTAGAGAAGTTTGCGAGCCTTGAAAGAGGTTAGCCTGTGAATTCTGAAGTGCTTGGTGAATTGGCATCAGATCCTGAGGCTGTGAAATCTTCTTGGGGCATCTCTGATTCTATGAGTTTTCTGCTCTCACCAAAAGAGTGACATTCATGTTGATGGTGCGACAGGTAATTTTCATTTTCTTTAGGCTTTTCTATATTTGTCATGTTTTCTGTAAGAATATATATACACTTGTGTACACACACAGTTTTTGTAAAAACAACAGAACCAAAAAGATGCCTTTGTTTTTATAGGAGCATGGAATATATTTGTTTTACATTATTAGAATATATTTTGCTGTTTGTTCATTTCAGTGGGCATTACTGAACATTGTGTTTAATTATTATGTGGTTACTATATTTTTATGTGTTGGGTATCTATATGTTTTTCTTTTATTAATGGTTTAGGAAGGTTCATAGCATTCCTATAATCTCTCTGCCATGAATGGCAAGGGTACTTATGAAAGAGTTTCTGCTCTCAAAGAGCTGATTGCTTTGAAATAGATTAGACTTATTCATATGTTTGTATTCCTGTTCAATGTCAAATCCTTTGTTGGAGGAATATTAATAAATATCCCAGAATCCATATAAAATTTATGAGTTTTATTTATGTTCAAAACACTGAATATTCTCCCCAGCATTGTTCATTTTTCTGGGTCTTTTTCTTATTAGCACATTTGAAAAAAATGTTTCTTTCCTTTAATGTAAGTCTATTAAAGTCAATAGCCAATAAACACTTTTAATTAAAAAAATATGCTGTCTTCTTTTCTGTAAATAGTAGTGAGTCTATTGAACAAAATATTAAATTTCCATGATACTAGAAATTTTCTCCACTGGAAAAAAGATTTTTTTCTACATTTATTTCATGTGTAGTCATTGTTTTAAGGGCACTTAATGCTGAATGCAGAATCCAAGGAGATTCAACAATGTACCTGTCTCTTTAAATTATATAATTAGGGGCCTTAAGACCATGCTAGCACATAATAAAAACAATAATAACCACAACCTAGGGAGCATTTTTAATGTACCAGGTACCTTTGTAAGTGCTTCCCATATATATCTTGCTGACCCTTAGAATGAAGCTGTGAAGCGCTGATATTATTATTCATCTGTTAAGAACGAAGTTTCAGGAAGGTTGAGTAGCCTGCCTGGGGGCCTACCAGGCATTTCTGGAAGGTTGAGTAGTTTGCCTAAGGGCCTACCACTAGTCAGCTCCCAAGTTCAACTTCAGCGGCGTCTGACTAAAACTCTGCGGTTAACCATTACACTAAATAGCTTCTTGTGACTTGCCCCTGGGTTGAGGGGGCTAAGGGAAGGGAGGAGAGAATAGAAGGGCCGTGTGGCCTGAGGTATGGGGTGCTTCTGGAGCTTCACTGCAGCCCAGCCCTGGCTCCCACTCCTCCAATGGGGAATGACCGATATCAGCCTATGTAGTCCACAGTCCCATGCTGGCACCTGTAGGTGCTCAGCGTGAGTTGCCATTCCATGTTCCCCAATTCCTTCAGCCCCCAGTTTGGGGACTCTAATCACGTCCTGAATGGCGTTGAAAGGGTTGAGGTCTGTGATAAGTTCAAGTGGACTCGGGGAATCAATAGGAGTCTGAGGTGTCCTAGATGTCTTGGGGGAGCGATATGTTATTCTCTGGTAATAAAGGGAAAAGATTCTTCTAAAATATTTTTTAAGCCAAATACTTGTGTAATTAAAGCATTTTAATAAAAATTTCAAACAAAGATCATCAAAAGGTCAAGATTAGAGTGTGTAAGCAACTATCTTATCCAGGATGGTTTTGTTTTGTTTTTTTCTGTCCAGGCAGCTTGGAGCTCACTGAGAAACCACAGAGTTAAATGATTATCCTGTGCCTTCCTGATTAGAAACAGGCTGCTCTCTGCAGTTTGATTAGTCTCGCTCGTAGCTATGGGATTACAGCTTATTAAAACTGACAGTGCTATGGAGGGCAGGGAGCCGGGAAGGTCAAACTTACATGCTGAGCCAGCCACCAGCAAGGCTCTGCCTTTACCTGAAGGTTTTGTGTAATTGGCATTCATTTTAATATTCTTTTTCATTTCTTTCCCTTTTTTTCAGCGTTTGGGTCTCATCCTCATTTTACTTACACCTTTTGTCTCCCTTCTTTCTTGGGAGAGTCCCTGACTTGTGACCACATGACCCAAATAACAGTGGGGGAAAAAAATCGAACCCAGTGTAAGCAACGTAAGTTAGGGTAACCATACATCTTTGTTGCCCATAATAGCCCTGTTTTGTGTCTCTGCGTCCAGGCATAATTACCAACAGTACCCTCTTTTACCCTCAAAAGTGCCTTAGTTTGGATGACAAATTATATGGTTACCATAATGAGGGATAGAGATGGTCAGACCAGAGAGCAGGTGCTTTGCTTCATCTAAACTGGAACAGCTGCTACCCACCTCTAACCAATCGCTGCTGTGGGTCCACTGCTGTCAAATCTTCCAGTGTCTCAGCGAAGACCCAAATCTGGATTTTCAGAAATCACACGATTTGTAAATGCTGGTTCCATTTTTAAAAAATATTCTGCTAGCCAAACAAATCCTAGGTGTACTGAGTTTGCAGCCCCTGGTTTAAAATCTGGAGGGAAAGCTTTGACATCTTTAGCATTTTTAAATTTCTCAGTGACTCATCAAAACATACAGAAAAAGCACCTCTGGTTTCTAGCTCCGGCAGCTGATTACAGATTCCCAGATTAAGAGATCCCCACATTGTCCCAACTCCATGGCAGGATCCCCCGAGAACAACTAGCACCATTCTAAATCTGCTCAAAGGGAAAAGAAAGCATCATCCTGTTCAGCCAATTTTATGGATGAGAACTGTGAGCCCTGGAGAACGAAGACCAGCAGTCAGTCGGTCTTTCAAGGAGTTTAAACAGACACACGTTTCTTTCCAGTTACCACTTTGGCTCTCCTACATCATCCTGTATTTTCTGCTGAGTGGTGGCCTTCCAGGGTCAGCAGTGATTGCCCAGAACTTACTTTCCAATGATTCTGACTCACAAAGCCGGCTGGGACCGGGACATACGGGCTCCTATTGCACCTTCCAGCATTAATAGCAATAGTCCTAACACAGTGAGGGTGCAATTACAGTTTATCAAGTGAACGAATATTCTTGTAGCTGTTGAGGCATCCTCTTCGGATTGTAGCCAGCTGAACACTGGTTAGAAGTGACTCGCACAGCAGTGCGTGGTAGGACCTAGGCTGAATGTCTCATCAGTGGTGGTTTTATGTCTCTCTATGCTAGGCAAGCTCCCAGTGACCTGGCACATTTTTTTCCTTCTTTTACTTGGTTCGCTTTGTACCATTAGCATCTCCTAGTGCTGGCCTCAAAGCAATTTCCTCTGCTTTGACAAGAGGAACTCACAGTGAACTTTCCTTTTGTTCTCATTCCTCACCATGCACTTTGAGACCAGGCTGAAGTTGCCAAGGAGTTCAAACGACCCGTGCTTCTGCCGGTATGATTCAGAGGGATTAGCACGTCCTCTCTGCACACTGTCCCTGATATTCGCCTCCTTCCCTGAACTGCTGTCCCCTGCTGTCTTCTCCTTTGTCTGAGAAGCATATTTTCTCTTATTATCACCTAGTTCCCTGCCTGTTTCGAATGGCTTCAGCTCGCCTCCTAATGAAATCAAGATGTTGCTATTAATGGTCTTCTCTTTCCTAACAGCTTAGAGTCACTTCCTTTTGTTTAGTCCTTTTTCCCTTCCCTCCCAAACCACACACTCATCTCTGTTTCAAATAAAAATTTCCTAACCCTTTCATAACTACTGCTTTATAGCTGCTAGCAATAAGGCACAAGAGGGAGGAGATAAAAGTGGAGAGAACCCAGAAGGTGAGGGGGTGAGGGATCCTCCAATAATTGAGAAACAGGGCGAGCG